TTTTTTTTTTTTTTGTCAGACAGCCGAGGGAGCCGTGGCGTAAAAGGGGCAGCTCCGCGTGAGCCGAGTCAGACGGTCACGGCCCACAGCGATAAGTTGCGCATCAGCATCCTAATCTCGCATACCCACAGAGAACACGCGCACTCTTGATTTTTGAGAGCCAGAACAGGCAAGCACGGACATGGCTGAGTTGATTTCGCCATCATGCCTCCACACCAACCTTGTGTTTGCTCTTTTAGATCTGATAAATAAAATGTGAGATTTCTGCTTTCCACATTATAATCAGAAGAAGCAACGATTCGGTTTTCGGGTAGGAATCGCCTAGGAAGGAAGAAGCTAAAAATTTAGAAGCAGGAGAGCAGAAAAACTGTGGGTGGAGTCCTTCTTAACGCCGAGGTGTTGCTGTTGCACCACTTGCTGCGCTTCGGCAACAACTTTCTCGACACGACGAGCGACCTATCTTCTTTGCTCCCTCTCACCACGCAATCTCGCTTCGCATTGCATCCAGCAACCACAAGTCAGCGCACGATGAGTTCTACACAACCTCACCAAAACCCCGACCAAGCCATGGAGGCCCACGACGAAGACTACGGCTCGGATCTTGCCAACGATGATATTCAAGAAGTCGTACCTGAGCACGACGACGAGGGTGACGTCCCCATGGACGGTGACAGCGACGACGACGACGTCGGTCATGACGCTTCCCAACAACAGGGCGCTGGGTCCGGTCAGGAACAGTTCGTCGACAACTCCATAGCCGCCTTCTACTCGCACCGCAAGTCGGTCTTCTCCGTCTCTCTTCATCCATCTTTTCCCAACCCTCCACTGGCGCTGAGCGGTGGCGAGGACGACGGTGCCTGGATCTGGAATACCCAGGATGGCTCAGAAGTGGCTCGACTTGGCGGACACACCGACAGTGTCACCTCGGCCCTCTTCAACGCAGCCGGTGACCTCGCCGCTACCGGAGGCATGGACGGCAAAGTGCGCATTTGGCGCAAGAAGAGCGATGACTTCAAGACGTGGGAGTTTTTGACCAACCTCGAAGGCCCCGACGAGGTCGTTTGGATCGACTGGCATCCCAAGGGCAGCGTATTGGCGGCGGGCGGTGCCGACTCCACAGTTTGGATGTGGCAGTTGCCCTCTGGCAATGTCATGAACGTCTTCTCCGGACACAGCGACGCTGTTTCATGCGGAAGCTTCTCTCCCGATGGTAAGAGGCTTGTGACTGGTTCGGAAGATGCGACACTCATCGTCTGGGACCCCAAAACTGCCGAAGTCGTCTCCAAGGTGCAGACACATCTCGACGGAGGTCTCACCCAGCTCGCGGTCTCGCCCGATGCTAGGGTGGTCGTCGTCGGTGGCGCGGACGGCGACGTTCGCGTCATCAACATCGGCGCACTCGACAACGGCGGGTCTGCCTCGGTGGTCGCCTCTTTGACCGGGCATGCCGAAGGCGAGTCCATCGAAGGCATCCAGTTCGTCGACGTTGGCAGCGGCAGTCGCACCGGCCACGTCATTACTGCTTCAACAGAAGGCAAAGCCATCGTCTGGGACCTCTCCCTTGCCAAGATGCGCTGCGAAGTGGTTCATGACGCTGCTATCACCGGTCTCGCATTGCATCCCGCCACATCGCTCTTCTCCACCTCTTCCGCAGATCACACCATTAAGACATGGGATGCCAGGACTGGTGGCTGTGTCGCTACTCAGCAAGGCTTCACCGACGGCGTGCTGGCGCTGGCAGTCGGAAAGGACGACGGCTTCACACAGGGTGCCGAGACAGGCGGCATCGGCGCTTACACCAACACAGCCAACGCAAGGGGATGGAAACTCGTCGGAGCAGGCGACGAAGGTGTCGCTTTGGTTTTCCGCGTGTAGTCGTCAGTCGTTCGTTCTTGCAATACATACCCATCACATGACCCCAGTCCTCTCTGAATACCATCTTGCCTTACGCACATAGGGCACTTTTCGCCCTTGTCGCTTTGATCCAAAGAGGCGTGTGAATCCGCGTGAAGGAGATAGGAACGTGTGAAGTGCTTCGGAGGCGCCGAAGCCTTTCAAAAGCATATATACTGAGGCATTCTGCTAGACGATCGGCCGCTCCTCCAAATCCTCATTCCATCTAAGAGCCAGTCGATTCATTCAAGATGGAGCCCGATGCTGCCTTGCGATGGCGTCAGCCTCAGCAGAGGGCGCACTCAGACGAGAACGGTCGCCCCAGCACCGCCGTGTCGGTCGCCACTTCGGCCTCGAGCTTCCATATCCCAGGTGTTCGTCCCCTTGTCCCGGTCATCACGCGCGATCTACAGCCAATGGGGCAGCAGCTCTCTCCTGATGCATCGTTCGCCCGCATTTTTGCTCCCCAAACCCAGGATGGCAACTTGATCCGGCACGCCGACGGACAGCAACAGAGTCCTCCCCTCCATTGGCTGCGTAGGCACGGCCCTTCTCCTAGAGAGCTTCTCGATACTTCCCAGGGTGTTCAGAACGAGCTTGATGCTGCTCGCGTGCCTGTGTATCCGAGCTTTGGGGGGAGCAATCGAGATCCGACGCTCGATTGGTCCCATGCTCATCACCCCCTCACTCTACGTCCTACCACTGTCTCGGCCGACGATCAACCCCGTCCTTTCACAGCATCATCCTACCATCGTAATAAGCTCGTCACTGCAGACACCACTGCTGGCAGCTACGTTTGCGCGTTGATCGAAAATCGAGGCACCGGTCGTGAAGTCGGCATCGCAACTATTGAGCGAGAGACAGGTATGCATCAATTCTGCGCCGGGCTATGCCATTACATACACGGATGATCTATACTGACACAGCGGCAACCTTGACCTTGAATCGCTTGGAAGGGCTCTGCACAATAACACAGCTTGCCGATACGCCCACATATGTGCGGACCATTCACCATCTGTCAATGTATCCTCCGAGCATCTTGCTTATTCCGTTCTCAAGTCCTGGACGCGGTTCCTTCCCTGCTCTCGCTACAGAACCGAGAAGCAGCAAGCGGCCCAAGACGTACGGCGACGGGAGCGCTGATAGCGACGGTGGGAGCCACGCCGGGGGACTGGGGAAGAGCAACAAATCGGTGCTAATTCGCAGCATTGAGCAGCTCTACGACATAGAGGCCAAGCCTTTCCCGCGGAAACACTGGAACTACGTTGAAGGTAGGCCTGGATACCCAGCGAGTCAAAGTCACTGCTCTTTCGTCTCGAAGCACGGCATTGCATCATAACATGACAGTGTGTCTCTGTTGCTTCAGCAAAGGCAAATACTCAAATAGACATACACTTCTATTTGTACACGTTGTCGAGCTCATACAGGCGCTCGCTATCTCGATCGACTCCTTGTGGACGACGCAGACGCAATCAAGAGGGAAGATGCAGGTTCGGCGTCCGAGTCAGCGGACGACCGCCGTCTGCCTAGCCAGCAATCACAGCGTCCGATCTCATCTCGTCCACAAACAGGTCGCTTGTCTTTAGATCTGAACGCCAAAGCCTCCACACGAGCTGCGATCTTGGTCGCCGTGGCAGACAAGTTCTACCTGCTTTCCGCTTTGGCCGGTCTCATCGAGTAAGTCATCGCAGACAGTAGCTCGACAAGATATGTTCTCATTCCTCAAAGACACGCTTTCTCCCGTTTCATTGCATACATAGATTCTACATGGAGACTTTCAACCGTGTTTTCACCCCAAAGACACTACGGATCCGATATATTTTCCCTGAAGGTAAGGTGCTGGTGCTCAGTCGCGCTTTCTTTGCTCCAACTTGGCCTCCGACGCATATTGACACGGCCAGCAATCTTGCAGATACTATCCTGATCAATAGCAACACTGCTCATGATCTCGAGCTCGTCCGTAACTTGATCGATTCCAAGTCTAAAGACTCGCTCTATGGTGAGTTTTCTATCCGGAATTGTACAGATCGAAGTGGGACTGACTCTGCACCTGCTTGTCGACGAACAGGACTGCTCAATCACTGTGTTTCGCCAATGGGACAACGACTGTTGAGGACCAACATTCTTCAGCCACTGACTGGTGAGGAGAGCCCGAATCAGTGAATGTAGATCGAGAATCGTGTATCTCGAGCTAACCAGCTTCATGTTGACAGACATTGACGCCATATTGGTACGACAGGAGGCTGTAGCCGAGTGCATCCATAGCGAGGTAGGTCTTCCTCGAAGGCTGGCAGCTCCGATCACAGAGCTTTACTGCTCACTCTTGCGGCATTCTGCTTCGGATTGACTTTCAGGAACGCTTCCACGCCATATCAGAAAGCTTTAAGCCCATCAAGGTTGGATCAATCGATCTCGACAAGCTTATCCACACTCTCTCGTGTCCTCCGAGCTCTGGTGACGGCACCAGACTGGAGACGGAGAGAAAGATCGGTAGCGTCCTGAGCCTCAGAACGCTGCTGCGCTCGCTCGGCCCAGGTATGTGATATGCTTGAATTCTCGTCGACATCGTGGGTAGGACTTCTCTACCTGCGCAGACTAAGACTGAGGAGCGCGCTTTTCCAAATTCAGTACGAGGAGCACTTCACAACGCCACTAGTGACCTGTTGCAGTCCATATCGAGTGTGAGTCTGCTCTGGGCGACTGTGTAAAGAGAGTCCGCAGCGATGCTGACTACTCGTTTCGTTGCCCAAGCCAAGTTTCTCGAATCGGCCGATGTGGACGAAATCAACGACGCCATTCTGGAGACGGTCGACGAAGACGTTCTTCATGCGAAAGGAGGGCTAGGATCCCGGCACGCCAGAATGGTGAGTCTGTCTGGTTCTGAGGTGCGAGCTCGCTCTTCGATCTCTGACACCGAACTATCAAGGAATTTGTTCGCCGTACGAAACCAGTATGCTGTGAGGGCACAGCGCAGTCCGCTGCTCGATGTCGCGAGACAGACGTACCGGGAGAACTTGGAGTAAGCTCTCCCCTCAGCTCGGTATCTGCGCAACGACCGGAGAAGCTCACCCTCGTGACGATCTGTCCAAGTGTCAACAGCGACATTGATGAGCTCAAACAGCGCCTGGAGAGTACGTATATCCGAAGCAACAAGCACACGTCATGCTTGCAGCGAGCGTTGTGCTGACGTACTCTCTGGTCACGTACGCAGGCGAGACTGGCCTAAGCTTGACGCTCAAAATGATATCGAACGGCTTTCTGGTGGGTTCCTTGCGACGGTCAAGTACCAATAAGAAGAAATCAGGATATTCTGACCACAATCAGTCGAACAGCTCCGCACCGAGCTTGACCGCAGTCAAATCAGGGAGTTGCCGGAGTACTTCACAAATGTCAGCCGCGCCAAAGTTGGCAAAAGCGTCACAATGACGACGCTTGCTCTGGTGCGTGAGTCTCGAACCTCACGCTCAGCTTCAAATTCGTGCTGCTGACCGCTTTGGTCTTTCAAATCAGAAAAAGCTCAACGCTCGGCTGCTGGATTCGATGAACGAGGTATGCAACATGTCCGAAACCATCATCGACGAGTTGATCGAGAAAGTCATCGGCCAAATTGCATCCCTCAACAAGGTGAGTTCTCGTCCCATCGTGCTAGTTCTGTTTGAGAAGGAACTCTGTCACTCAGACTGAGAAGCGCCCTCTTGCTTCACCTCCAAAGGTCTCGGAAGCGTTGGCTCTGCTGGACATGATCGTCAGCATGGCGATCGTGTCTCGAGCCAACGACTACGTTCGCCCTGTGCTCGGGGAAAGGCTCGACATCCGTAACGCCCGTCACCCTATTCTCGACAGGGTCGACATCCTTGGTGCCGGTAACTCGAGCGTGGTCACGCGTAGAAGATGTCCGTTCGTACCCAACGACATCTATCTTGCGCCCGGAGAACGCGTCTGCCTGATCACCGGGCCCAACATGTCCGGCAAGAGCACGCTCCTCCGTCAGGTCGCGCTCATCACCGTTCTGGCAGGTATAGGCTGCTTCGTTCCTGCCTCACGCGCCACGCTGCCCATCCCAGACGCTCTGCTCAGCTTGCTCACCCACGAAGACGACGCGACGCAGAATCTTTCAACCTTTGCTGCCGAAATGCGCACTTCTGCGTTCATCCTCAGTGTCGCTACGCCACAGTCGCTCGTCATTCTCGACGAGATGGGCAGAGGCACCAGCCCCGATGAAGGCTGCGCCATCGCGACAGCAATCGTCGAGGATCTCATCAGCCAAAAGGGCTGCACGGTGTTCTACGCTACACACTTTGGTGAGCTCGTCGAAGGGTTCCAAGGCAAAGGGGGGGTTGTGTGCCAGCATCTCGACGTGGGAGTGGTGCAGCGAAGAGAAAATGTGGATTTGGTCTTTCACCACAAGCTGCATCTAGGACCGGGTCTCAACACGCACTACAGCCTTCAAGTCGCCAGGATGATGGGCTGTTTTAGCGACGACTTCTTGCAGCGCGCCAGAGACGTAGCCCTGACTGAAGATTCGACCCGCGCCGAGAAAGCTGCGGAATTGGACGATCCGACAAAGGAGAGACGAAAAGTGGTGCGCAACCTAGTTCGACTTCTGCGCTGCATAGAGAAGGGAGCCCCGGTCGGGGAGTCATTGGAGGACTCGAGTGAGACAGACATGGGAGGTGATGCGCAGTCGCTGGGCGGAAGACTTGCCCGACTTCAGTTGCGCGCTGTTACTGAGCTGGAAGGCACATACGAAGATTGAAGTATGCCACGGGACGAGGTCCAGCCGTTAAGAGGGATCTGAAATATCCAGGTGTTTCGTCGCCTCGAGTTGTTGGGAGAGTCATGAGCGAAGGCAAATCGAACGCACAAAGACGGACGATATTATCTCCACTAAAAGCAAACGATGCGAGAGAAGAAAAATTTGATGCCAGAGGAATGAAGTAATGTTACAGATGCGGATGAAGATTGGACGGAAGAAGGACGATCCGCGTCCACGCCGGTAACCTCTGAACCGTTGCTGCGAGCTGATTAGATGAGGAGACGCTCGATCTGTGGAGGGAAAACGATGGCAAACGATGACAAGGAGAGGAGAGAAAGAGGTCAGCAAGGGTCGGAATGCGGCGCGATCTGGTCGGAGGAGAACGATGAGAAGCGAAACTTACAGCAAGCTTGACGGTCTGAATCTGGCTCTGGAGCTCGCGAGCCTCGTTCGTAGTGACCGAGGCAGAGACGACGGGACGCGAGACACCACAAGCCCTGCCGAGAGCGGTCTTGGAGGGAACGAAGACGTAAGGCACGTTCTTGTCCTCGCACAGAAGGGGCAGGTGGAGCACGATCTCGATGGGCTCGACGTCGGCGGCCATGACGATGAACTCGCAAATACCACGGTTGAGCGTCTTGGTGGCCTCGTTGGCACCCTTCTTGAGCTGCTTGTAGTGCGAAGCCTGCTGGATCAGATCGAGGATCTGGTTGGTGAGCGTAGCATCAGCCAGAGGGAAAGCCTTGGGGTTGGGAGCCGACATGGTTGCAGATCGTCCGAGGTATACGGTAGAAGGCGAGAGAAGATGCAAAGTGGATGGTGGTTTCGAGTGGAGAAGAGAGACCTCACGCCAGGTGTGAAGCAGGGATCACGGGTCTAAGCACGAAGTTGACGGAAGGGATTGGTGATGGTGGGGAAGAGATAAGGATAGGCGTCGACGAGCCAGGGATCTGCCGTCGACGGTGGGGTCACTGAGCTGCGACTTTGC